CTTTCAGCCTTGAAGTGTTTGGTACCAGTCTCTTGGCAAAAGAGCCTGAGGAATGGAAGGGTAAAGAAATATGACCCAGCTGCTATGCACAATGAGGTTTGTAAGTCCTTGTATGGTATAAATAAGCATATTACACAGTTATTAGAAATTTGGCACTGTCGCTGTTTAGAAGCAAGACTCTGATGCTGTGTAATTCCTCCCGAGTCCATGCATAACTCAATATTAACCTTCCATTCTTCCAGCCKTGTTACTGGCCAAATTCGGCAACTTTTTTCTCAGTACTCATCCATTCAAACCCTTCTCRGCAGTGTAAACCGGTGAGTTTCCTCTCAAGTCAGTAAATCTATGCCAACCCATGCGGTCGAGGCTCGGTCCTGACTTTTCCCCCGGCGCCCTCCGCCTCTCACGGGGTTCTGAGCCGCCGCCGTCGGGGCCGCCCGGCCGCGGGGATCCGTCGGGTGCGGGCTCGGGGCTCGCTTCTCCGTGGTTGGCAGCTTTTCTTGGGGGGAAGAGAAGGAGCTTTTCTTTGGGGGAAAAGGAGCCGGTGAAAGGTGTGGCGGCTGGAAGAGCGCTGGAGCATCCCGCGGAACGGATCCCACTCGGGTTTCCCCGGCCCGCGGACTGAATGTAACTTCGCAGAAAAGCGACAGTATAAACTTTTATTAATCGCCGGTGTTTAGGGCCAAGGCATGAGCGAGCTCGGTGACAGTGATGAGTGGTTTGGATCGCTGGTCCCTGAAAGCGGGGCTTATCCTCCCACTGCTCCCTTGGCTCGGCGTTGATGAGCCGTGAATAGGAGCCACCCTGCCGTCGGGGATCCGGCCGTTTATCTGCCGGGTGATGACAGTCGGGCTGGTTTCGCCTCGCCGTGAATTGCCGGAGCCTTCGGGAAGCGCCCGGAGCTGCCGCAGCCGGGGGCTCCTTCCGAGGAGGACGTTTCAACCCTCGGTGTCGGTCCCGTCTCCCTGGCCAGGGGATGAGGAAACCTGTGCCCTCCCAGAGGAGCCGATCCCGGAGCTCGCTACGGGCAGGTGCTGTCCGGGCTCAGGCCACGGTGACCCGAGCGCGGCTGGACTCAACCGGGGCCGCACGGCGGGGAATGGGCCCGACCCCACCGCTCCAGCATCCCCGTACGCACCGACGGGGAAGTCTGAGGGTGAAAGAAGGCCYGGGAGTCTTTGGCTTTGATTAATTAAATTATCCCCATCTAGGGTTGCCCCCTCCGCCCTTTTTTTGTTGTTGTTGTTCAAGGGGGGAAAAACTGCATTAAACGGCGGGAAGTTCAGGCGGCGGCCGGCATTCCCTCTGTCCTTGCCGCGGCTGCGGGAGGAAGGGCTGGAGGGAGACTCACCCAAACAAATCCGAGCCCCCGGTACCGGCTGCATACTCACACCAAAATTCACCTTGCCCTTGAGCCCAGCCCTCGGCTGCCGCCCCGGCCTCGCAGCCCGCGGGGAGAGCCCGGCCCGCAGGTGGGAAGCGGCGACAGGACGGAGCGGTGCAGGTGAGGGGCGGGCGCGGTGCCCGGTGCAAGGACAGAGCCCGTAGCTCAGAGACAGCTACGACCGCGGAACCAGCGGGCAACCGAGCGGGGYGGGTCAGCGGCGGGAGCCGGGMCTCTCGCTGCCCCTCRCCGGGACGGCTCCTCACCCTTGGGYCCCTYTCAGYCCCTGCTCGGTCTGTGCGGGAGCAGCACGGTGCCGGTCCCCTCTCGCCCCGGCCCCGGCCCCGTCGGGGCTCGCCGCGGCCCCGTCTCACCTGCCCTGTCCCGCTGGCTCCTGCAGGAACCGCTCCCAAGCTCGCATCCCCCGGCCCGCCCGGGTCCTAATTTTTTTTTTCTTTCCTTCTTACTTTTCTTTTTTTTTCTTTTTCTTTTTTTTTTTTTTTTTTTTTTTTTGGTAGGAGTGGGGAAAAGGTTCGTTACGAGGTTGACCCCACTTTACATTTTATTCTGCTCCTGTTCCCAATTTCGGCACCACGTGACGGTGGGAGTGAGTTTGGGTTTAAATTCACTTTCAAGAAAACCCCGATAAGACCCCTGCCCCGCGCAGCCCCGCCGGCCCATGGCGGGGTCCCTGTGAGCCCGGMGCTGCGGGAGCGAGCGGCGCCTCGGCGCCCGCCCGGGACCCCCGGCTCGGGTAAGGGCTGCTGCCCGCGGAGCGGGGCGGAGGGGCTGCGCAGGGACTCGGTGCAGCGCAGAGCTGTCGCGATATAGCGGTGCACAGCAGTGGAGCTGTCGCGATAGGTGTTTGTGCAGGGGACAGCGCGGGGGCCTGGGCGCGGCTCGGATGTGAGGGTCGGCTGAGCACAGGGAGCACAGCCCCGCCGGCAGCGCTGAGGGCGCGTGTGTGTGGCTTGGTAATCGCGACAGCAGAGCTGAAGTCACCCATAAAGTCGTGATAGCACTCGGAGACTCTCCCGAGGGTTTTTTCTCCTGATTTGGGGGTTTAGCGCGGCGCTGGGAGCCCCGAGCAGGCGGTGCCCGTTCCGTAGGGTGAGGGAGCTCCAGCCGGGTTTGTGAGGGGCCGCGCTCGCCTCTCCCCTTGCCGCCTTCACCTCAGGGCGGCCCCGACGGCCAGGCCTCGCCGCCGCTTTGTTGTGGCCGCCCAGCTCCTGCTTGCCTCGTGGCAAGGCTCGGGGCTCTCTGTCGTGACAAGGGAAGGACGGGGACCCCTGTCCTCGTCCCCGGGCTCGCAGGGAGACCCGCACTCGAAGGCAGGCCGCAGGCCGGCGGACAAGRATGGTTCGGCTGCGGTGCAGGGTCGGGGAACCCCACGGGGGCTGCGGGCCCCTCGTGAGGCGGGACCCCTGCCCAGGCCTGATCCCGGYTCTTCCCCATCACTTCTCTCKGGCTACCCCAGCTCCCGCCCCGGGRTCCCGCCGAGCCAGYTGCYCTTCCAAGCGCGGCCTRTGCTCCCCGCTGCAGCCCCGGCCGGGCCCGGCTCCCCGGCGGGCRGTGGGGAGCGCCAGGACCGTCGGGGCTGTGAGGGGGCGGTGGTGCCGAGGATGTCCCCTCTCCCCGGGCTCCCCCCGGAGAAGCGAGAGGCTCTGCTCGCCGCCAGGCCCGGCGCAGCGCCG